TTCCCTCAACACTGTCCAACTATTTACAAAGTGTGCACTACTATTTCTGTTAATCTCATCACTCCTTATCACCCATCCCCTCCCACTTGTGATTGTAGAACTGTAACTTTGTCACTTGTATCCTTATGATTTATATTGACTGTTTTCTAGTATGATTTGATTGTTGATTGTACCCTATGACTATCATTAAGTGTTGTACATTATGATTCTTGATTCTTAACAAATGTATCTTTTCTTTATGTATATTGAGAGTATTTACACCAAGACAAATTCCTTGTGTGTCCAATCACATTTGTCCAATGAAGTATTCTATTCTATTCTATTCTATTCTATTCTATGCCCTACATTTCAGTTTTTTTATCTGATTTCTTTTTGTCAAATTGGCCAGATTTTTTTTTTAAAAAACATACATCTAAAATGTTTTGAACTTGCAAGATAAAGAACCCTAGGAAAGTTTTTGCCCCAAATAATTTACCTTTCTCTGGATTCCAACATTTCTAAGCATTAGGGCTTACTAAATCATTGGGCCATCTACTTCCTGCACACTTATGAATTACGTTTTTATCTGACTTTTACTGCATCTTTGAGGTTTCCTTGTCTGATGTCACTGGGCAGGGTGGAAAATCACTGTCATTCTCATGTCTGTTATACATTATGTAGATGTTATACAGGTGTAAAAAAAAAATAGATGTTGAGACTCTAGAAAAAGTGCAGAGAAGAGCAACAAAGATGATTAGGGGGCTGGAGGCTAAAATATTATAGAATGGTTGCTGGGATTAAGTATGTCCAGTTTAATCAAAAGAAGGACTAGGAGTGACATGATAGCAGTGTTCCAGTATCTCAGGGGCTGCCACAGTCAAGTTATTCTCCAAAGCATCTGAAGGTAGGACAAGAAGAAATGGATGGAAAGTAATGAAGGAGAGAAGCAACCTAGAACTAAGGAGTTAGAACAATTAATCACTGGAATGACTTGCCTCCAGAAGTTGTGAATGTTCCAACACTGAAAGTTTTTAAGAAAAGATTGGACAACCATTTGTCTGAAATGGTATAGGGCAGGGGAGTCAAACTGGCGGTCTGCAGACTGGATGCATCACATGCAGGCCACGACCACCCTGGCTCCACAAAGGCAAAAAAGTCGTGATATGTCATGTGACACACCTGAGTTTGGCACCCGTGGTATAGAGTTTTCTGCCTAAGCAGGGGTTGGACTAGAAGACCTACACGGTCTCTTCCAGCTCTGTTATTCTATTCTATTCTATTCTATTCTATTCTATTCTATTCTATTCTATTCTATTCTATTCTATTCCTATTCCTATTCCTATTCCTATTCCTGTATTTCTCTTCTCCTCTCTTCTCTTCTCTTCTCTTCTCTTCTCTTCTCTTCTCTTCTCTATTTCTATTCCTATTCCTATTCCTATTCCTATTCCTGTATTTCTGTTCTGTTCTGTTCTGTTCTGTTCTCTATTCTATTCTATTCTATTCTATTCTATTCTATTCTATTCACTTGAAGGCAAGGTAGGTTGGAACAGAAGGTGGTTCCCCGTCTGTGAAATTGGTTCAATCTGGCAAACTCCAGAGAGATCCACAACATGAAAGGAATCTGAGAGCCCCCCTCCCCCAATTAAGCCAGAATATTTTCCATTCAACTTTCTGCCTGTCAGATGTGTTAGACCTCTTGCTGTGAGATTAGTCACTCGGTATAAGACTTTATTTAATATACATTGCACAACTCTTCCTGTTTACTTCACTTTTAGTAAATGAAATATTTGGATGAGAGAGTGTGTATTCTAATGGTGCTAAAACAAAACCAGAAGAAGTCATTAGTCCTTCCCTTCCCCTTTCCCCCTTCCCTCTTCTCCATTCTCCCTTCCCTCTTAGAAGTTGTCTAGCAAAAGCTTTTCTCCAAAGGAAAAAGCACAAACCATGATATTTTCTGAGTCTTTCTTGCACAACTATATACTGATTATGCCCAAGGGAGAAGCATTAGCCCCAGTCTTATTATCTCATCTCCCTCTGTCTAAACACTGAGAAGGCTGCAGTGATGTTTTTTCCCATTACAGCAGCTTAAATACATGGAAACAAATCAGTTTTTGCTTGTTCTTAATTGTTTTTTTTATATTTTCTGTGTTCACATAATAAAAAAATAGAGTAGACCCATTTAAAAGGTATGTTTTAACTAGCCTTTAATTACATCAGCACAGAATAGAAAGGTTTAGTCATTGATATTGTTTTATGAACACATTGTTTTAATTTACCATGTGACATCATACAGTATTTAATAAGTGTTTTGATGCATGTATACATTTTCTTTATACCTTTTCCAACACTAGCCTAAGTTTATTAATTGCACACATTTAAAAGTGAGTTAAAATATGCTCTTTAATTTATCTACATGCTAAATATAATGTTCTTCAAGTCTCTCTTTTTTTGCTAGTAATTTCAAATCAAATTATGGTAACTATTCACAAATCAGACAGTTTTATTGATTTGCTTATTTCTTGTTAGGTTAACTTTCTAAAGCCGTCCAATTGCATAACAAATCCAAGTAATGTATAGTATTAAAAAGAATAGGAGAAAACATCATAACAAACTCAGGTGGTAGTATTATAAAAAAAACAACTATGGTCTTCAACTTACTGTAATTCCCAAAGGGCTTGGCATACTCCCTAAGCTAGGGCCAGGGGTAGAGCCAGGTCTTCAAGGTTTATCTAAACAAAGTCAGCATAGGAGCTGTTCAAATATTTGGGAGGATGTTGTATCAAAGGGCAGTCTCTGAACAGAGAAGGTCTGCTTCCTGGGTCTCATCAGGTGGCACTGTTATACCAATGGAACTCAAACTATGTTGACTCTGTCTGATCATAATAAAACATAGAATACAAGGGTTGTCTTCTAATTCAACATCTACTCAAGCAGATAATTCCAGACAAATATTTATCCACTGTCTTCTTGAAAATCTCCAATGATGGAGCACCCACAACTTCTGAAGGCAAGCCATTCCACTGACTAATTCTTCCAACTATTAGGAATTTTTTCTTAGTTCTAGGTTGGATCTCTCTTTAATGATCTTCCACCTTTACTTCTTGTTCTGCCCTCAGCTGCTTTGGAGAACAGGTCAATCCATGACATCCCCTCAAATACTGGATGACTGCTATTAGATCAAATCTTGTCCTTCTCTTCGTTAAACTAGACATACCTACTTCCCTCAATATGGTTTAGCCTCCAGAACCCTAATCATTTTTGTTGCTCTTCAGTGCACTCTAGTTCTCAGAATCCTTTTTGTATCATGGTGATCAGAATTACATGCAGTATTCCAAGTGTAGTCTCATCGGTGCAGTATTAACAAATACTATTACTTCATATGATCTTGCTCTGTTGTGCAACCTAGGACTACATTGGCTATTTTACCAGCTACAGCACACTGCTGGCCCATACTTAAGTGCTGATAATAGCCATTTTAGCCATTCAAGAAAAATGAATTTCTAGGATATCTCGCTAAAGTGAAATTCTCACTCCCCATTTTCCCTATTTTTAGTTGTTTCTGAAATGAAATATTGGAAAACCACATTTCCAATTATGCCTGTCTTTTGGACAAGCATCAGGTATTGCTACTGAAGTGACTTACTTTACTGCCTTAATGAATGGATAGATATCACAGGAAATAGACCGTTCTTCAAATAACCAGACCCTATGTTATAAAGGGCTTTATAGGTGATAACTAGTATCTTAGATTACCTACACTCATTACAGAATACTCAGAACCACTCCTGCTGCTGTAGTTTCTGGGTCTTCAGTGAAAGTCCCATGAAGAGCTCATGAAAGTTAACCAAAGCATGAATTATTGTGAGGAGGGTTTCCTGGTACAAAAATGGATGCAATTGGTACACAAGATGAATCTGTGCAAAGGCCCTTTTGGCCACAGCTGTCACTTGTTTCTTAAGAAGGAGCTTAATCCAGGAGGACACCTCAAATTATACAGCAGTCCTGAATGGTGCAACTTTAAGGCTAAAAATGGAAGACACCTGATCTGGGGGGGGGGGGGGGGGGGGGGGGAGCAGGAGATCCAAATATCTACAGCTAGTTAATCTTGCAAAGGGTTAAGCTTGATCCTATTCCAACCTATCCAGATTCTGACATTTCTGGCATTGCAACAACATCCTGAGTCTGACAATAGCAGTTAGATGCTTAGGTGCCTGGTCTCTTAGACTAAATTATAACAGTTATGTTATAAGATGTTATGAATCTGTTGTACTTCTAACTTATACTGTTATCAGATTCATCATGTATTCTCAAAAAGGATTTCTTGCAGCAATATAGGTAAACCAAGGAAATTCAGAATCAGAAAACTGTTGATAGACTAACCAAAGTTGGTGTTCACCAGAGTTTAGAGTTGCCCTCAACATTCAGTGTTGAAAAGGCAACTTGTCTCAACCCTTAATGTGTCAAATGCTTTGCATCTCTAAAATTCCAATGAAATCAAAGTTTCCTTTGAGTATTTGCTGAAAATTTTATAATGTTAGTAGCTCCATCCAAATGTACTTTGTCTTTTAGGGATCTGTCAACTTCTATATGTGCTTTACTTTAGTCAAATTCCTTCTAAATGAGAATTAAAACAATCTCACTTCCTACTCCTATCCTTCCAAAAAAGTTAATGTCATAAATATTAGTCTATCTGCAGTGATCTTTGGAAATTGTATGTACTACAGAAGCTATAGTTACAACTGGATGATTTACATCTGCTAACATTGCATCCCCTTGGTAAGAAGATGTCACCAATCCTAATGTGTTAGTTCTCTTATTTCTTGTAAAAGTGAAAAAGAGGAAAAAAACCAGAAATGGATCACCAGGTGAAGTCCTGGGCATCCCTTATTTCTTTTATATCTTTCTATATTTTATTAATAAGTCTTTTATATTGCATCTATATGCAGCATTTCCTACATAAATTTGGCCCAAATGGGATCCAAACTCATTGAGCATAGATGATGAAATACCAGATAATTGATCTACTGTTCAATTTCTTGTTCATCCATGTCACCATTGTCAAGTTCTGGAATTCCTTTCGGAGGGAGTAACCCATACTCGTTTAAGAAAGTCTCCACATCTGTAGCAGAAAATTCTCCATTCAATTGGTCAGTTACACTAATGAAATTGCTTACAAGCTGCCCACCTTTGTAGACAAGCAGTGTTGGAAGAACATCACTGGAGAAACGGTCTCCTGCCCCTGTGTTAGTAGCCTTGATTTTGCAAAATTTCACAATGGAATACTCAGCAGCAAGATTAGTAAGGCTGCTGTTGAGTGCCTCACACTCCTTGATGTCATCTTCATAGATGTGGACAATTACAGTGGTGGCTTTGTGTTCTTTCTCCACAGCTTCCAGGAACTCCTTCCCATCCTGCAGCTCAGAAACATAGCCATGCCTTGGCGCAAAGCTCAGTCGCTCGTGCATGTTCTTCATGCAGCTCTTCCGGTATTGCTGTAAACAACTCTCATCTTCTTTGACATTCAACAACTCATATTCCTGCACACTCATCTGCAAATAATTGTAAGAATACATTGAAGTACAAGTGCTGATTTAATTGCCAAGCCCAAAATGAGAGATTTCATGCAGTCTCATGGAATATAAATACCTGTAGAATATTTTATGCTCAAAGAATAGCACTGAAAGTTCAAAAGCTTCCATGTACATTTATTCCAATGAGGTATAGTAGGGTATTGATATTAGTAGGGTATTAGTAGGGTATTGATCCTGATGTAGGCTTTCCATCCAATGTTGACAGTACCATCAAGAGGATTATTTCTACTATATATTGTCACAAAATGGAAGTGAGTTGACTACAATGTAGGGACCTCAACTATGAAACAGGATCAGGCAAACAAATATGCCATTGTTTGGTACAGGATGTTATAATAAGACATTTCTAGTTCTGGAACAATTAGGATTCTATTCTAGTTGTGCACTGTCAAGAAACATCAACTTAGTTTTTGCCAATGACTTAGAGCCATTAAACTTTTCCACAAGTTGGCTAATGCAGGGCGTCATAAAATTATAAAATTGTCATATTTCTATACTCAGTCGGATCTTCAAGAATATATTTCCCTTGTTTTCTGTGTCTTTAACACTGCAAAAGTAGTAAAGTATTAGTAAAATATAAAAGTAGGGAAAACGACTTTCTATAGGAATCCTACTTACAGGTGAAACTCGAAAAATTAGAATATCGTGCAAAAGTTCATTTATTTCAGTAATGCACCTTAAAAGGTGAAACTAATATATGAGATAGACTCATTACATGCAAAGCAAAATAGTTCAAGCTGTGATTTGTCATAATTGTGATGAATATGGCTTACAGCTCATGAAAACCCCAAATCCACAATCTCAGAAAATTAGAATATTATATGCAATCAATAAAACAAGGATTGTACATAGAACAATAT